CCCACTCCAGCGCTGATAGAAAGCGATATAAAGAAACTTAATTCAGGTAGTTTTCAAAGAAATGTAGTAGTTTTTTACATGGATTACGCTTTTAGATTCCGAAGAGCAACACAATTTTTTAAAAACTGGGCGACAAAAAAAAGAAAGCCACAAACGAGACCACTATAGTTAGTCTAGCTTGGGAACCTGGCCAAGTACCTGTAATGTCATACAATCTCACTAATCTTACCTCTAAGTGTTTGTCTGAACGCTAAGATGCTTTGCAATGAGGTATTCTTGACCAAAATAACATGTTTTTCAATGGCCAGAACAACAGCTGTTTGTGAACCGGTCGTTGGGGTTTTGTGCATTCAAATCATAGGTGACCTTTTGAAACTTCAAAACAAGAGAAGTCGCAATTTTATTATTTTTATTTTTTTCAAGAAATGGTCTATTGTTCCGGCTCAACTTCTCACACTCCTTGTAGCGCTGAGGGACTTTGGCCGAAGCGATGCGAAAAAGTTCGAGACTAATCGGAAAAAAAAATTTTCAGCATGACAATTTAGCTATTTTGGGAGATTGGGTGGCGCATATTTGCGCTCGACAGGTATAGTGTGACCGGAGTACCCCAAGGGAAAATTAACCGCTGATTAAGCCGCTTCGGGGAGTGGGTAGCGTAAATTTGTCTCGTCGAGTCACCTCTCAATGGTCTACCCCAGGAAAAAAATTGACCGCTAATGTGGCAATGCACACATCGAGCATTCAAAATACATTGTGTCTCATTCAGACCACCTCTCTCCAGTACAGTACTTGTGCGTCTAAATATCTCTTCGAAAACAATCTTTGCAAAGGTATTCAGTTCAAAACATTTCTTTTTTTTTTATTATTGCTGTTGGATTTCAGTCGACCGTGCGTATAAATCTTTCTCCAGACACTGTCATAGTTCTAAACTAAAGTCTAGTCTTTCCGAGCGTTTAAATTTCCCGCTCGTATGCTAACCGGAAACTTCGACAAATTCCTCGTGTGTTCTGAAGCTGTTGCGCCTTTGTTCAAAAATGGCCATATAGGAAAATTTTTCACTTGTATAACAAAGCCTATCGTTATCAAAGTTGAGCCACTTTTTTTGATAATTTAAAGACAAGAAATCGGCCAGTTCTTCTTTAGCTTTTTGTCTAATCAGTAGAGGTATTAGTGTTTTTATTTACCTGCAGTGTACAGTGATAGTTGTGTTTCCTGAATTCTGCTGCCACCTTTGTACCTGGCCAATGAGATCAATCAGTCTTGTACCAGACTCTGTGGAGCCGACATCAGGCCAAGCAGTGTAGTGATACTGACGAACAACTCGCGATGCACTCTCCTGAAGCATTCAGAATACAATTGACGTGTTAAAGAGGTAAACCAAGCCTCCTGAACACGTGTAACAACTCTCTACCGATTCCAAACCTTACATTGGATTATTCTACTCGAGAATTAAAACGCAATGAATCTGAGATACACTTCGTAAGTGTTTGGAACATATCTTTCCTGACCGGAAATTTGGAAACATGCTTTGATTCAGACAGGCTTCTCCTGCAACCCACTCTGAATGTGTTTCTTCCGCAAAAGAAATCTCTTCGCCTTATTTCCCAACAACAAACCCCCTCCAAGAATTAGACGTGTTCTATTTCGTGCGACCTGTTTCAGGAAAAACAACGCGATCGTATAGAGACAAATATTTCCACAAAAATCTCTTCGTCACACAAGGCGAATTGTCACTACCTTCTGTCCTCGCTATTTGCTGCCTCGTCAAGTCCTCTCGCAGAAAAACTTCACATTGACTAAAACAACCGACTCTACAAGGGCATTGGTAGTCCTCAACAAACTTGGCTAGTCTAAGGTAGCATGGAAGGTTTTCTGCAACGAAAGTTTTCCCATTGCAGAAATAACAAAAATACACTTCGTTTGGCAGCAGCAACAATACCTTGGTGTTGGTGAGTTTTATCTCTCTCACTGTATAATCTTCATAAACCATTTCATTGGTCATTTCCACAACCAAGGTTCCGATATTCGCGGGCTGGTTGGCAGGCCAATACCGATGTACTTTGACCTAAAAGAAGATAAAGAATTTCACATCTAAAAGTTGAAACAATCTAACCTTAAAACCGATGATTGTTGTTTCTCACGCCAAACTCCCAACATAAACGAAACGAAATCGAACCCAAAGTCGAAGAACAAAACTGGTCGTAAATGTAAAATACCTCCGACGTAGTGATTTTCTCGCTTTAATGAATATGAAAGTATAGCTGTATTCTTCACGGCTTTAAGGGTTTAAATAAAATGCAGTTAACAGCGCCGGTCTATGACCCTTGTAAGACTTCTTACCGCTGCCTAGGTTTTGGATTACGGTCCTTTATCAGGTACAGTCACCTACTGAACCATCAGGAGCCTTTTATGGAAAAAGTTATTGAAGCCATGATTTTCTATTTTCTGAGCTGAAAACTACAAGATTTACTAAGTGCACTTCTGTGCCCTTGAATATGTTTTGGTATAAATTGGAACGAATCTTTGATTAGTACAAACATACGCACAAAGCACCCAAACTATTTTTGAAGTATGTGTCCTAAACCCTTTTAATAGGGAAAAAAATTAAGGAAAAATGTTTTTTGACGGGAAGTCGAGAGGACCACTCTTAGCGAGAGTGGCACTTAACATTTCTTTGCATTTTTTCGAGTATAATTTGATATCATGTTGGATAGAAAACTTGTGAATATCATTGACAGCTACATTTAGTGAGCTAAAACCGTTTCTTGGCAGGATTTCTTACCGCCGTGGTATCATCAACGAATTTAATCCTCACATGCCATTTACGCAAAATCACACCCAGTTTCGTCCCTTGTGGGATACCGTCTCCCTTGGCTGAGTTCCAATCAGACTGAGAGTCACCAATCTTTATAGCTCATGATCTTCCAGTTAGGAAGACACTATCCAGTTAATTGAGACAGTGTCTATATCGAAAGACGCCAATTTTCTGAGAAGAATTGAATCGTAAATCAGGTCAAAACCCTTTGAGTAATCGGCAAAGAACATTCTAGCTCCACAATTTCCACTATCAGTTGCTTTGTGAATCGCGTGTGGGAGTGCCCCTCCCTTGCGTACTGGCGTGGATCAAGTTTTTCCGATATTTGCGCCACGGG